TGTCCCCGCTCAGGCGCCGATGTCGGTGGCCTTGGTGACATCCGCGGGGACCCCTGGTAGCCGCCTGTAGGTGAAAAAGTGGCCGCCACGCACGGCGACGATACTTCCTCCCCTATAGTAGGGAGGAAATTTAGGGGGAGGCTCGGTGATGTTGAGTGCCTCCCCCTGCCACCCGCGAAGCCCGTCGATGGTATAGAGCCTCCGCAGGTGGTCGTCGTCACCGTGCAGGTGGTCAGCGTCGTCGGTAGCGACGTCGCGGGTGATACGTAGCCCCCCGATGGACTGCCCCTGGTAGTCGGTGGCAGGCTGAGGGGCTGCGCAGGGGGTATCCTCAGAGGGGGGCTTCTCAGTGTGACGTTTTGCCCCCCTGCGCGTCGCGACGTCGCGTTGCCTGACGCACTGGACGATGGCCTGTCCAGTGCCGACAGGCGTGCTTGCAGGGCACTGTTCTCGATGGGAGCGCTCGTCGACCTGCGTGACCGCGTCGTCACCCCCGCGTAGTTGGTAGATGCGGGGGGTGGAGCGGTCACCTTCCTCCTCAGTCTCCCCGCGCCGCCGATGTTCCTTGGCGTGCCCTCCTCCGAATCCGATGACAAATTGACAAGCGGAGGAGGGTGCGGGGAGACGCGCTCCCGCCTTGCGGTGCCCTCTCTGTGTTCTATCGGCACGCTAGTTGCCCGCCTTGTCCTCGCGGAGACCGGTGGTGATGTCCTGGCGGGCAACTTCCTCGTTGCTCCCTCTCCGCATCTCGTTCTCATAGCCCCCGCTGTAGGTGGTGTAATTTGCGGGGGGTGAGAGGGAGCGCGTGCCGATGTATTGTTTCGCACGCCTATCCTCCGCAGTTGACTGTCAGGCAACCTAGTTATATTTACCGAGACGACGCGCGGACCACTCACCGCGGCGGTCGCAGGCGGCATCCTCGTTGCAGCGGCATCGCCGGATTGTCTGGCTGCAGTCGTTGCCGTCGTCCTATTGGGCGCGGCGCGCGATGCGGCGGTACCGCGGGCGGCGGTGGATGTCATCGTACCTCTCGATGTACCCGCGGTAACCGCCGCGAATGAGGGGGACAGGGACGGACTCCGCGCCTCCACCGATGACGTAGAGGGTGGCGTGGCTCTGAACGGCAGCGTGGGTTGCCGCAGATGTGCACTCGGCCGCCTGTTCGCAGTGTTCGTGGTCTCCGCCAATCGCGTGGCCGCACGGTGGACAGCGGACGACGCTGATTGGTCCCCACTATTCCGAACGCCGAGGGTGCCGCGAGTGCCTGTACACGGCGCATTTCGTGCGGGGGACTTGTGGCTCTGCTCGTAGTGAGCCTTGACTGACTTAAGGGGGTATCTACTTACCCCCTTGAAGCTACATCGCGAACACGCATAACTTATGAAGTCCCCCGCATGGCATTTCTTCAGATGCTTTGCCAAATGCGCCGTGTCGCTGAATACTCCTCTACTCGCTGCCCCCGCAACACCGAAGCAATGCTTGCATTGAACCTGCGTGGGCAGCGGGTAGAGGAAATTATGCTCACGCGGGTCGGCCATTTGCACGACTATGCCACGAACTGGCCAATCCGCGCGAAGCTACTATTGAAAAATCGAATGCACTCGCAGCACTTTCGCAGAGCGCTTTAATTGCCTGCGCGACTGTATAGCGAGCGGGGCTTATTATTCAAGCTATTATCCCCGCTCGATTAATAAATTTTATCACAAAAGTACTGCTTGCGAGCGGGGCTTAACTCAGTATGCTCGCGCGCCAACCCTTAACCCCGCTCCAACGGAAGACTTTTAGTTTTGCAGTTTGGCTGCTTATGAGCGGGGCTTAATGCGCGCGCGCTTACGAGTCTAACCTTAATCCCCGCTCTAGTTATTTTGCAGTGACTTTTGTCGAGAGAACATTTTACACACTCGCGGACTATAGAAACGAACAAACTAATGACTTAGAATTTCCGCGAGTGTGTTGACAGCCGCGCAAGCAATACACTGACTTTAACCTTTGTCTATACTTAAAAATTTAACTGACACTTGACGGTTAAAAGTCACGACGCGTATACTTACTTTTTCGGAAAATCGCTTCTCGGCAAATTAATCCGCGACGTTCACACTCGGAAACTACCTACCTAACTCCGAGCCAGATCTATCTGATACAGCACCCCGTATACCGTCGTCACGACAGCTGATGCACCGCGTGCATGTGCAGTGACGAACGAGCGGCGGAGTGCACGCGCCGGTCTTTCGTGCGATGACCGGCACGTTGTCGCTTACCTTTAGCACGAAATAAATATAGAATCCGCGACTATGTGCTGCACTCCGCTCACTCACTCGTCGACACACGCGGCACATAACCTGCTCCTGCCACGTGCATGCACCCGTGTCGACCTACAGCAAGAAAGTGGAGAAATAAAGACACGAGGAATAAATGGATGTTTTTTCTCTTTATTTATTGTTAGGATCTTATAGAAATAAGTTTAATGGCAGGCAGGGATCCCAGGATGCTGTCGCCGACGACGATACTTCACGCAGCAGTCTGATGCACCGGCGGCAGTCACCGTCACTCGCGGGCCTTTGCACGCGCACGAGGCACTTTCTGTAACAATAAAAAGAACAAAATATATATCAAATTAAAGCTAAGAGATCAATCTATACAGCTAAACTATACTCGGTGACCGCCGACGGCGCGGGGGGGCTCAGCGCGCAACGGGAGTGACACCGCGCGCGCCCGTGAAGCGGAGTCGCGCGCGGTCGCGGAGGGGGGGCGCACCCGACACTATACACGCACTATGCACTCGCGATCACTCCCGCTACCTCTTGGGATCAGGCAGGTGAATTATTTGATGTTAAAACAATTCACTGGGCCGCACTCCGCTGTAATGCAGTGCGGAGTCGACCCGTGGTGAGGTCGGAGCAAGCTCCGAGCACCCGCCTGGTCCCAAAAAATAGATTAATATACTGAGCCCCCTATGGGGACTGTATCAGATATTAAGCTGATAAGAACAGATACTACACTTTGATCTTAGCTCAGAGAGCCGAGAAGCGATGCTATTCGTTGCCTCGCGGTCCATTTTATAGCCGCTTCGTCAATTTTCATGCACGGGTTCGCGTTGCGTCTCATGCGCGACTCCGCGGCGGACGCCGATACTGCGTTGCCTCTCATATGCCTACCGTCAGTCCTAACCTCTCAGTTTTATATACAATCCACCAAGAGTAAATATAGCATGTTGGATTTGTTTATTGTGCACCTTTATTTTCAAAAAATTTACCATCTCCGAAATTTATCTTTTGCCATAACAAGATTCTTCGCCTAAAATTTTCGCATTGTCCCATTGAAATTCCTGATAAAATTTGAGTAGAACGAGTAAATGTGTAAATATCAAGAGACAAAACAATAGTTTAAACCTTGAAACAGATACAGAAGGCCTCCATAAAGGTTATATACCGATTATAACAACATAAGACTTTGCAGTACCAAACAAACAAAAAGAAAATAAAAAACATTGTTACTTGAATACCCACAGTTGTTATTAGACATTAGAACCGTATAGTTTTTAATCGTTAATGTTAGTAACAAATTGACTTCCTTGGTGCTTATTAAAAATATTATACATCACCGATGACACATGAGATGCATAATTAATTTTATCAATTTTTGTAATGAGTAATTGTTGTTTCAGAAGTGTATCATACTTGTCATCGTTGTGATAACCACATAATTTTCCGAAATTAACATTGTAAGACACACAGCATAAGTATACTGTCATGGTGTGTCAATCTTCAATGTAAGAATGATTTGAATACTTATCTATTACAATCAAATGTAATAGTCTTTATAGAATATCAAATCTGCAAACACTCGATCTGTCAATCCAGAATTAGTTTGTTAATTCAGAATTTTTTACATACAGGAAAATTTAAATTGTAAGTTTTGTTGCCTCTCAGATTTGCCCTTGTTAATATCCTCTATTCTGTCAATATTGATTATTATACATGCTGCTTTTATTTTACTATATAAATGTTATTGCTTTCTGTTCAGGTGTAGTACGAAGTCCACTTGTCAATTAAATATTGTTACTTACAAAATACTATTTTTACGTATCCATAAATGTTTCTGTGTACCACAAAAAAATTATAAGATACATTTGCCCGAATTATTCTACATACCATTAATACATGTTTGTCAACCATAAACTTGGTTAAATATATTTTGACAAAGTTCTCAAACTTTTACTGAGGATTAAAGCACAACTGAGAAAATCTAATTCCAATTGATAGAATGAGACAAAGATTTCTACTAATTTTTGTAAGACTCCTAACATGGTCCAAAAATATCAAATCAAATGGTTCACAATTTACATTCATTAATGGGCTAACTGATAAGTTTTGTGGGTAAACTAAATGTTATGACTGCGAATGACACTACATTTTTAATACATTCATAAATTAAATGGTTTCTTTCTCGTATTCTAACGTACTCCAGCATGCTCCTATCTCCGTTCCCATTTACTTCCTATTCACTTTGGATAAGCATGTCAAATGTATACTACATGATATCGAGTACAACTTTCTTCGGAGAGACATTATATACATACATTTCTATTTATGTACGCTTTTTCATTCTTTGTGAGTGCAGAAAGTGTAACTTAAAGCAGCTATTAGGAACAACATCCAACTATAAATACGTTTATAAGGTGAAGGCTGCACACGAAAGACGTGAAACGTGTAAATAATTATAGTAGCCCATCTAAAATTATTTTAATGTATAAAATTTTACCGATTAATTAAATATTTAGGAGTACTTATAATCTGATACATTAGCGTGTAATACTGCAGATAAAATGTGTCATATAGGTTGATAACCTCACATATTAATACACTAATGATTTCAATTTTTCATTCGTCTGAAAAGTGTATTTATTTCTATTTTTGATTAAAAATGGACAAATTAAGGAGAGCTTTGAACGGTAATGAACGATGCGATGAAGAAAGTGGTATTATAACCCAGGTAATTATATCCACAGTTATATAAAATATGTCACTAATTAATAGGTGTATTATAATCTCATTTCGCTTGTAAATTGAAATTATCACTTTAATAAATGTTCACATGCGGTCGACAATGGAAGGTTGATGCAGATTTCATGGTAAATTGTTAAAGAATTATACAGATTTATTATATACATTTATAGCATCTTTATTGTTATGTATACTGTTACGTTATGTATAATGTCTAATTTGTTTATTTCAAAAAGATTATTGACAATTTTTATATTTAACAGGTTATGGATCAGACAACCTTAAGTTGGTCTACCAGGATAAAAGGTTTTGCAATTTGTTTCATCGTTGGCATATTATGTTCATTCCTTGGATCATTTGCCTTGTTTTTACAGAAAGGTCTTACCGTATTTGCTGTATTTTATACTTTAGGCAACATTATCTCTTTAGCCAGGTAAAATAGAAGCTAACTGTCAATAACATTGTTTTTAATTATTTTGCTGAAATTTGCTATATGTGAAATTTTTCGCAAAAATACTGAAATTGGTTCGAATCCAATCAAACCATGGATGCTGTCTTATTTTTCTTCTAAAAAATTTTTCTAGAAAATCTTCAATACAGGCTGAATTTATATACATGAAAACGAACAAAATTTTACCTCAAAAATAGACGAGGGATTACATTATGCTTATTATCATTCTTACAGTTATATCCAAAATAACATGTTATAAATACAATTGCAAAATATTAAAATAATTAGTAACCTGTACGTTTCAGTACGTGTTTCTTGATGGGTCCATTTCATCAGTTTAAGAAAATGTTTGCATCGACAAGAATAATTGCAACAATATTAGTATTTGCATCAATTGCTTTGACACTTTTTGCAGCTTTACACGTAAGTACTCAATATTTCTTATTTTTATTTTATTCTTCATATTTTGAAGTATTTATTACTCTTTTGTTTTCAGTTGCATAATCCTGGTCTAGCTCTTTTATTTATAATTATTCAGTCATTAGCTATGACATGGTATTCTCTATCATATATACCATATGCTCGTGATGCTGTCAAAAAAACAGTAGAAGCATGTATTACATAAAAGAGCAATTATCTTTGTTTTTCGTTGTATTAAAATTTATTATAGGATCATTTAATTTTTTCGATTCTTTGACACTTCTGTTATTTTACAATAATTAATATTGATTATATTCTGTTTTCTAACAAAGAAAAAATGAAAAATATAAGTAATATAAATAATTATTTATTTCAAAACTTGATTTGTAGAACAGTGTCAAATTTATTTTGAAACATAAAATACTTTGTGATTTCTAAACCACATGATGTCGTGAAAAACGCGCACACGCGCCTCCCACACGTGCACAGGAAGAAAAAAGAGGGGAAATAAGATGTCAGTCATGACTTTGAGTAACATCTAGAAGGTTTCAGCCATCAGTCGGACACATTGAAAAGTGCAAATGCCGGCAAACCATTACTTTCGAACTTAATAACTCGAAATGTGCTTAACAATAAAGTACTTTATAATAGCGTTTTGGAAAGATTTTGAAATAAGTTACATGAATACGTAATAATAAATGGAGGGTTTCGTTTACAAAATTCTATTTAACATAGACCTGACCTTAATATATAAAATTAATAACATCTCAAGATAAAACAAGGTCGCTGTCTTTTTTCTCCCTTGAAATCATAGAACTTTTGTCTGAAACATTTTTTGAAAAAATTTCTCTTTTTCGAGATATTTTCGTGTTATTGATTAAAATGACCTACTCTGTATATGAGAACAGTTTTCGAAAACTTATTAATTTTTCTTTGTTGCCTTCTATTGCCGCTTGTGTTTATTTAGAAATGAATTCAGTAAAGCATCTCAAAATGATTCTTTAATTGATTATTATTATTAATTCTTACAATTAATAGAAAATCTAAGATTAATATTCGTAATCTGTTTTTATTTCAAGACCATCTTAAATAACGTCTTAAATTACTAATAGTATTGTGATTGGTTTACAAGTCAAGGCTATATTAATTCTTAAATAACAAAAGTCCTATAAATAAAAAATTATCTCGGAAAAAAAGGGCACTAGAAGTTAAGGGTAGATAACTTCACGCAACGCCGATATATGTATATCTGGCAATTCCATCTAATACAAAAAATTATCAAATAAATAAGCTTACATGTTTCGACTCATTTTTTAGCCTTCTTCAGGGACAATAAAATTTTCATAAATAAATAATTTAAAAAATAACAAAAATAAAAGATATTTAATCGTAATGAGCTCACTTACAACCGAAAAATAAATTTGAAAGACAATTTCATCCTACACAGAAAAATAATCATTTCCAAATTAAATTTATCAAATTACAACTACCTCTCGGGAATGAGGAGAATCACCATGTTCACCACGATACTGCATCTAGAATGTAATTGTTTTTTGAATCTATTAATTTTTAAATTAAGGCTATATAGTGTTATCCGTTATCTAATTAAAATTATTTAGATAATCATCTAGATGAAAAAATGGCTTTATCTTATTTTAGATTCAAAGAGTCTTATTTTTTTCAATTTATCTAAGATTGTGGAAGAATAAGAAATTTCTGTGTAAACAATCAACCTCCAGTAGTAATAGTGAGGATTTTTTTCGCGATAAGGATAAAAACAATAGGATTCAACACTAATTATTCTAAACACTGAAATACCTTTATATTTAAAAAGTAAATCAAAAGAATTAGATATTTTGAATTTATATTCACACATTAAACAATTTTTTTTAAATACAACACGTCATTGCCATCATTAACGCCAGTAGAACATCTTTTTATTTATAGACAACAAATATTCGTTCACGTAGAAACCATTTATTAGATGATACATTCGAAAAACTTATTTTTAAAAAATGAAGATTTATAAAATATGATATGTATGTAAAATATTTATAAAAATATGAGTATATTTTTGTATCTTAAATCATTTTACTATTTAATAATTTCTCAAAAAAAAATTATTTTAAAAATTATCTAGATGAAAATTTTTTTAATTTTATCTTTTATCTAGATTAATATAAAATCAATTATCTTTATCTTATCTAAAATACATTTTTGTGTCATTTATTTTATCTATATCTAGATTATTTTTAATTTTCTAAGCGCAACACTGGCTATAAATAAAATAATTTTAAATATAAGAACGATTGTGTGGAATATGTAATGTAAATATACCAGTTCGTGAACACGACCAAATTGTTGGACAAATTGTGACAATTTTAAATATTAAATTTTTGATGATATGGGTTACTCTAAATAAATTTTTAAACAATTTTTCATATTATTTGGGAATTAAGTATTATATAACTTATTCATATTAAAAATATTTTTGTAAAAAAAATTTCGTGTATGGACAATCGCCCATTTATTAGGACATTTACACATGCGTGTATCAATTATTGGACATTCCTTAGCATACCTGTCTACTGCAAACATGTTTTGCATATATTACATATAAAACTATATAAAACTTCACTAATTACAATTTCGATACTTTTTTGAATAATCTTGATTGATAAGTAAGTAAAATGCGATTCTCTTCTATAATAAGAAAATTGCTTATTATTTATCCAATAATTGAGTCATACTTTTGTGGACACAGAGACACGTCACATTTTTTGTCCAATAATTAGGACATTTGAATTATATTATATTTGACTAAATACAATTTATAATAAACGCAAATAACATTTGAAATGAATTTCGTTTCAGAAAATATCCATTCTTACTAAGCATGTGTAATAAACTAAATAAGATCAATTATTTAGGCTTAACAATTATCATGAATAATAATTTTTTGGAATTTGATTGGTTTCGGAAACCTACATATTCAGGCAGAATTCTTAATTTTTATCTATGCATCCTCTTACTCATAAGAAAGGTGTTATTATTGGAATGGTAGTTAGAGCATTTAAGTTATCACATCCGAAATATCAACAAAAAAACATAGAACATGTTATTGACACTTTGATCAATGATTATACATTAAATTTAATTTTCAATACAATTAACACAAGATTAAATTATTTAATAAAAAAATCGTGGCGATCCATAATATTTAAATTTTAAATTTATTTGTATTTTCCTAGTTGGATATCGTTAAGTGAGTCACTTGGTTTTTTTATTATAAATAAGAACATATTAAATTATTGGTTATTCCATTTCACAGACATAAGAACATCAAATCAACCAATTCGATGTGACTTACTCGGTATTCAATTGGGTTATATTATTTAGCTGAAGATGACTCCAAAAAGAGTCGAAACGTACTCATTATAATTCTGAATAAAGGATTTAATATATCCAAGTATATTATTTGACGTACCAACAGCAACGTGGCACTCTCATTCGCCTCCTAATATAGGAAAATTTACTGGATACGTTCATAAACTAGAATTTTAATGTTTCTAAAGTTTAAATAAATGATTTTGTCGTGCAATTCCTTAACTGTCCAATAACCGGTACATTTACCTTATGTATAATAAATCTTTTTAATAAAATACTAGAGATTTAAGAAATTGTATTGTAATAACAAATTTACTTTTTGAATAAAAGAACTCAATGCATTCCATTTTTTTAAATTAATATATTCAATTTAAAACTATATTTCAAAAACTTATAAACTATAAGAAAGCAATTACAAAAACGTAATAAATATTTGTCTTCAATTATAAATATTTTATTCATGTTAAGTAGCATATTTATTTATATATATTTATAAAATAAAATTTTAGGTTTTAAAAAATATTTATAAAAATAATATACTTAAATTAATAAAAATACTTTTTTGTTCAAAAAACATAAAAATTAAATAATTAAAATATTTACTTAAAATAATTTTTTCCCGTTTACTAATACAGTCTGGTTTGTGTTTCTCATATTTAGATTATAATTGGGGGGTATTATATAAGTTTTAGTCAATACTATATAAGAACATAAGGTAAACAATAATTACAAAATTTTTTTTAATACTTTCATAAATTGTACTTTGATGTTTTCATGTAATGTAAAATATGATGTAAACTATTTATTGTTTAAAACTATACCTTAATTCTTTGCACAGTATAATAAAATAAATTAATATACTATCAAAATTTCTTGGAGTGACATTTTACTCTAAAAGACAAAATACCAAGAAATGTGCACTTTTAAAGACTCATTCTTTTTTTTTAGTGAGATTTGTTCTAGAGGAAATAATCTTATTTCTCATTTAGAATAAATTCTAAAAAAAATGTGTCAGTCTTATTCAACAGTATACATTTTTTTCTGTGTTTCGGTAGTTAGTTATTTCAACTTTTTTAAAGAGATTTCACTCCAAGTTTGAGAGTAAAGAAACAGTTATTATTTAAATAGTATATGTAATAAGTTGGAAATTACTTAATTTTTTTTAAAAGTAAACGTTTTTTGTACTAATTCAATTATTTTATTATTTTGTACATAAAACTAAATTACAAACAGAAAAATGAACAATTTGCGAAAGATTTTCACTTATTTTAAAATAATCCTAATATAAAATGTATGAAAAAAATATCTTGTAAATTATTAATTTTTATTATTTTATTTTAAAAATAGCAGAGACCTTTTTGTAACTTCGAAATGTCAATTCTTCGAAAATTTATTTTATCATTACTTGTCCTCTTAATCAAAAAATTATATGGATTTAAGAATATAATAATTTTTTTAATTTTTATTAAATTTGTCACATTACACATGCTCGCGTGCGTTTATACGCACGTATGCATATATTAAAGTATACGATATTTAATAGTAACGCAGTGTGCAAAGGATATAACGTATTTAATGCTAAAAAATTAAATAAAGAAAAATTATGTCTTGAACAGTCTGGTAAATGTCATGATTCATTACAATATACTGAAAAGGCGCGATCGATATAGCGGCGCGCACGGTAAAACATATATTATCCGCGAGAGATACTCGAGCGGATGACAAAACGTGTGCGATGTGGCGTCGCACCGCGATAATCCCACGTTCGATAAACTGGAGACGCGATAAATTGACATGTAGGAATAAGCATGTGGGGTAGTACTACGACATCAAGGGGATACATCAAGGGAGTGGACGTCATGTACAGCGAAAAAGGATGGAATGATCTGCGGATATAGAAAAATGAGAGAGAAACGTGATGTAAACGCGTTGCCGGAAGTGTCAGGAGGGGTTTCGAACGCAAAGAGGGAGGTTTGTCTGATGGTGCGAACGGTGAAACGCGAAATACGAGGTGAACGAGTGAGCAAAGGATGGTAAGAGGTTATAACCGACGGTGGGGGAGAACTCGATGAGGTGGCGGAAGAGAAGGGGTTTGATACGGACTTTAGACAGCTAGCAATGGCTCAGTTTGCTTCCGTTCCGTGCTGTGCGAGGTTCTCGTACATTTTCAATTGCAGTTATCATTTCGCACACTGATCCATTTGAGAGAAGCTCGCTCCCTACTGTTCGCGTAACCCCTTGTTTCGCCTGCGGAAGTTCGAAACGAAATAGTTCATGCACGGTGTATATTATTACAGGAAGTGTTTATAAGAGCGTGTATGAGGTGCCTGGTATTTCGTCGAGTGCTTTGTGCTTTCGGGATAAACTTCACGCGTGACTACGGATAGAAGATCATGTTGACGAGAAACTACTGCTGTTTTCTTGCGTCATTATTGCTTCTCTTTGGATGTATCCAAGGTAAATAATCAAATCCTATTATTGATACTATGTAGCAAAAATTTGCATGTTATCTCTGTTAATTATACCTTATTAATTTATGTTTAAATGATCGAGTTAATTGTTATGGAATTTTTTCCTCATATGCTTAAAAACAAATAATCTGTACCACATTCAGTTTAAACCATAGACAAAATTACGAAAAAATTGACGTTACATATATATACAAAATTTTGAACATCAAATTATGCATTGCAAAGATCAACGATATTAACAACTAATGTTTAATGTACTTTAATGCATAGTACATACATCAATGGTTATTTTACTTATACGACCTTCGAAGTTACAATTATGAAACTGTAATTTTTCGGAAATATTTATATTACACTCTGATATTTTTTGTCTACTAAGGTTTATGTTTATTTGTTTATGAATACAGTAAAAGTATTTGAAATGAATAGCATAAAAAATGACATTAGTACCATAACAATTTTTTGACTGATATTACTAATAAAATATAAAAAATGGTTATAATTGAATCATAATTATAATTTTTTCTTTTTCTTTGACGTTTAAACAAGTAATGAAAATACCTTTTTTATAGCAAAGAATTCATATCAGAAAAAATAATACAATATAAAGAGACAAAGACTCATGGATAATAAATATGAAATTTATAAAATTAAAATTTTGAAGTATTTCATACATAAAGTATAATACAAATTATCTACTTTTGCATTAAGATTAGTGTTTTACAAATGTATGAATACCGCTTTACTCATTTTTGTGCATTTTCAAGGTATTCACGAATACATAGAATGTGCGGTATGCAGACGCAGTCTCCTGGAATATTTAAAGTACTATTAAATGTTTTTGGATACTTATATAAAAACTTGATTTTATCATATATAAACGTTACTTAAACAATGGATGTGTGAAATGTTGAAATGCATGTTTTATGCAATTACAATATTGTTTTACAAAAGAGTGCAAAGATATTTTCCCAACACATTATAAGATGCGATTATGCAAAATATTAAATATTTAATATCTCAAATGTAATATTTTCGAGATATTATTATTGTATTTTTAAAAAATATAAAAACTCATATTTACTTTCACTGAAATAAAAATAAAATAATTATTCTTCGACTTATAGCATTTATTTATTAATCCTATTATACAGGCAATATATTATGCATAATTAAATAACATTTTGCAATAGAACACAAAACTTAAAACTAAAATTGTCATTTTCTTTTGCATAATTAGATCTAATGCATTTTTATTTAAAATATAATCGTACACTTTTATTTTTATTATTCGTATTAATCTAATATTGTTTCTTAATTTCATGATTCCTGAGGTATTAGTTTTTAATATTTTGAAATGCTTAATATTAACATTGACCTATATTTAAATTATACAATAATATTATATAATTTAAAATAACATTGTGAGAAGCAAAAATGAAAAGAATAATTAGGAAAAAAAATAAAAACTAATGCAAATCGATTCATGATGTTTCGAATTCCGTGCGTTACTTGCAGCGCTTATAAATATTTTGTCACTAAATTTATTTCTTTGACTTTCAAAATAAATTATGTAACAGATTTCACAATGACAGAAATTTTGTACATTAGAACTCATTGGATGAAACACGCTTGGACATGCATCAACTTATTTTTTATGCTGATTTTGTAAAGATATAACAAAGTTGGTGGATAATCAACTGTGACTTTACCTTGTTATTTCCAAAGAATTAATTTTTTATTTTATTTTTATATTATTTTTATTGTATATCATAAACATGTGTCTTTCTCGTAATATATTCTATCGTTTCTAAGTTGGTTGAAAAAAGTTTTTAAATAAAAAAAAAACGTAATATAAAACTTTCATCTAGAAAGAATTAAAATCATTTGAATCGGAATGTGAAGATCCTTCAATAGAAATACAAAGATATATATTTAGGTATATATTATATTATATATATGTATGTATTTCACTGTATAAAAATAAAAATTGACCACTTGGATTATATTCTTTATTTAATTTAATGTGATTGGTATGATATTTAACTTAGCGCCAATTGTTATATCATCTCTTTTATACAAATGATATATGTCAATAGAATTAAGAGAATAACAAAAATAGTATCACATGGATTTTACTTTTTGATTTGATGGAATTAAATTTGATTAGTTAACAGAGATTGCAGCATTTAAGTTTCAATTTTTAATTCAATTTAGTACATTAATCTTTTCAAGGAATGATTTTTGAAAGAGAATTAAAACTACTATTACTTGGATTGGAATGTAATTTTCAATATGAATATCTGAGGAAAATTAAAACTACTATTTTACTTGGATAAGACACTCAGGTTTTGTTCAAGAAACACGTGTATTCTTAGTGCCCTATTTTACATTTTTTAAAAAATAAGGTTGTTTAACAAAAACATCAAGTTACTTTAAAGAGATGTGGCGGAACTCAAATTCTGACTTCAAGACACTATATTTTTCTATTTGTTGATCTTATGTAAATGTGGCAATAGACATTTGTTTAGAATCATAAGAAGTGTTTCAAAACGGACCAATTTGACAGGGATTATTTTATCATATGAAACGTGTAGAATCCTTCGTAGTTTTAATAAAAAAATTTGATATTACAAAAATCATATCAATTTTTGAAAAACCGTTTTAAAGGTTAGAAAGCGTAATTTAAAATACTTTTTTGGTCATTTACATTCTGTGATTTTTCATTAAGCTATAACGCTTCAAAGTAAAACAACCATATTAAAAAAAAATTTTATGTTTATAAATTCAAGAATAGAGTATAAAAAAATAAAGTTGCAACTATTTTTTTTTTTAAGATGTATCTTTGAAAATGTCTGATTTTTTTCATTAAAATATTTAGCTTTTTGTGCGATACAAAAAAATCGCTAGTAATCGTTAATTTATGCATGATAAAATATATATAATATATATGTAATATATATAAAGTAATTTCACTGTTCGACAAGAAGTGAACTTTTCCATACGCTGGAACAAGATAGTTATTTTTTATAGTTTTTACGTATTAAATATGCGCGCGCGCGCACACACACACGTACGTACGTATTTTCCAAACTGCTCCATCATGTTGCAATTTTGAGAAATTTTCCACTTAATATTTGTAGAAAAAGATTATTTTTATATACTAAAAAAGTTTCATTGCAATTAACATTAATATTATACAACAATATATTATTCTGACTTTTAACTTTCAAAGAGATATTTTGGTGTTTGCTACATAAAGTTAATAATGATTAGGAAACTATAATTGCATATTCTAAAATAAATATGATTGATAAATAAAATAATAGTAGAGACTAAATAATTTAATTATATTTATAGTAACATACTTATAAGTTTTATTTAGGAGGGGGATATTTCAGATTATTAGAGTTACGTTGCTAGACCGAAAATCTTTCGGCGCGCAATAATTAAGAAGAGAGGACATTTAAAAATCAGATTATTAGATTTGCGTTGCAAAACCGACAATTGCTCGATGCGCAATTTGGGGGGACTACATATATTAATAGAACGTTATTTCTTACTTTGGATAAATATTGCGAATATTACTACGTCGACCCACCATCAGAGGTCTATCGATATTCGCAAATTCTCGCAAGTGCTGAGACACGCGTATATCTCTATATAGCATCTCGATTTAATAACTTACACAGGCGTCTAAGGTAGGCTTCCATTACAATACCTTACTGATGAATCCAGAAGTGGAAGCCGGGACGAAACGCCAAAAAAAATTACGTGATATTCTTCGCAATATAGAATATTAAAATAAATTATCAGATTCAGATTTTAAATTATAATTTGACTCTTATTCGCCATTTTTAACGTATTATTATACTTATAAGTCATAGATCATTAAATTGCTGCAGAATGACAATACTCCAACGTGAAAATTAATAAAAGACTTATTTAAAAAATTTTTACAAATTTGGATATAAGGAAGAACTTGAAGCCTATACTTTTCTTTGCTGCTATAAATCTTTAAATGTTACAAATTGCATTTTAATCTCGAGCATATGGTCTTCCAAAATTGCTATTAGATTGTTTTTTCATACTCATTGTCTCCTGATTAGACAACTTATAAATTTGCACTCTTTCGAATAACATTATATACAAAAGTATTTCTAAAGCCTTAAGTCATTTACCACAATAGTTCCGATTCGATTAATAAGCTAAATAATTAAAAAAATGAAAATTATTGTTTGATCTCATTATAAACGCGCTCACACGTTATTTTTTGCTAAACATCTATAAAATTAGAAATGAGGAGTGTCTAAACGATGGAACTTTTAAAAAGCTTTAAATGTTACAAATTGCATTTTAATCTCGAGCATATGGTCTTCCAAAATTGCTATTAGATTGTTTTTTCATACTCATTGTCTCCTGATTAGACAACTTATAAATTTGCACTCTTTCGAATAACATTATATACAAAAGTATTTCTAAAGCCTTAAGTCATTTACCACAATAGTTCCGATTCGATTAATAAGCTAAATAATTAAAAAAATGAAAATTATTGTTTGATCTCATTATAAACGCGCTCACACGTTATTTTTTGCTAAACATCTATAAAATTAGAAATGAGGAGTGTCTAAACGATGGAACTTTTAAAAAGCTGCAGAATATCAAAAGACAAATTTTTGAAAAAAATATTCAATTTGTGCTTAATACAACTTTTTTCTTTTTCGATAATTGTACATGTATATACCAACAAAAAATTTAGATCAATAGGTTTTTTGTTGTCCCCGGTCGTCGTGAATATAGTAATGCAAGATTTCGAGATGCTGAACATTTCACAATTTAGCAAATAGCTTTCTTTTTACAAATATAGACAGTTTTACAAATATATATGACAGTTATTAGACGGCTGTTCCATTTTCGAAGAAACACGTTCTAAATAAATTAAATCAACTCCATTTTAGATTACAATTATTTATGTTAAAAATAGGT